AAAAACTCGACGAGTGCACCACGATGCCGCTTTTAAAAGAAAAGTCATCGCCTGTGCCGAAACAGACTGAAATCGGGCCGCATTGCGGTCGTTCGGAGTTCCCGAAACGTGCATGTGGGACTGGCGGAAACAAAAGCAGAAGATTGTCGACGGCAAAGATTCAGGCAAAAGCTTCAGTGGACCACAACAGGGTCGGTTTCCGCAAATTGAAGAGCTGCTCGCCTAGTATGTGCTTGGGAAGCGAGCGGCACAGCGTCCCATGACGACAGAACTGCTCTAAGTGCGGGCTATGCAGTTAGCTTTGGAAGAAGGGCTAACGCGGAGCCAGTTCAAAGCGAGCAGGTGCTGGCTAACTAACTTTATGAAGAGGAAAGGCTTTTCCTTCCGAAGGCGAACGGGCATATGCCAAAAGTTGCCGGAGGAGTACGAAGAAAAGCTTCACAGTTTTCAGAGGTTCGTCCTAAACTTGCAGCACAACGACTACCTGCTTGGGCAAATCGGGAATGTCGATCAGACGCCTCTGTACTTCGACATGCCTGGCACCACAATCGTCGAGAAAAAGGGGGCGAAGCAAGTTCACGTGCTGACATCGGGCCACGGTAAAACTAGAGTGACGGCAATGCTCTGTTGCACGTCAGATAGGCCCAAGCTTCCCCCGTACCTCATATTTAAACGGAAGACGCTCGCGAAAGGAGTCGTTTTCCCGAGTGGTGTGATCGTGCGGGCCAACAAGAAAAATGGGTGCGCGTTGCAATCGATTTCTTACTTTTTTTTTTTTTTTTTCATCGTGGAAACCGGGTGCGTGTTACAATCGAGGGCGCGGTAGAATCGAGTAAATACAGCATATATATATGACGTGAAAGATCAGAGGTTGGCAGTGAGATAATTTATCATTAGTTGGCGCAAAGTCACCGAAGGCCTCTCAACACATGTGTCTCCGTGCTTGTGTATATAAAAAGCCTCAGCAACTTCTCTAGCTGTCCTATCCCTCTGCCGGGACAACACCCTTGTTTCGCGAAGTAATGGGTAACACTTGAAAGCCCTGCAATGTAGGCACAGATTCGACGAAGGGTGGGCCTTCAGCAATGTCCTGTGATCCATTAATCTGTTATTCATTTTCCAGGTTGCCCAATATAGCACTTACCACATGACGAGGTGATAAGATACACCGCACCCATTCCAGATTCAACAAACGTTTCTGGGTGATTGACCTCACAATCACACCACTTTTTTTTTCTTTGCCTTCAATTTTTCTATCCACCTCTGCAAAGACTCGGCCCAACTTATTCTTGGATGAAAAACGACATTCACACCGAATTTGTTTCCCACCTTTTTCATACGGTGGGAGAAGGCATGAAGATGTGGAATGCACGTGAAAGGCAAACCTTTATCAATGCCCACCATGTCATTAATGCACTGTTTGAGTTTCTTTAATAATATTTCACTGAAAAGGCCCAGCTTCCCTTCTGGAAAGTTCGATAACCTAAGCCTAGTAAGGTGGCCATCAAGAGCCTCAGACATTTGATGCGGGCACAGCTTGCACAAAGCAGATTCGAGACATGAAGTGGTGACACCATTCTTGACTAACTTTGAGTGACAGGAATGAAAATCAAGAATGGGCTTCACCGACCTAGGCGTATACGGCCAGCACGTGTGCTCTTGCCCAATCCTAATTTTCAAATCCATAAACTGAATGCAGCCATCTTTCAGGAACTCAAAAGTAAATTTCAAACCCCGTCCCTTCTCTTTAAACATTTTCAGCACATTGACTCTGGAACTCACATAATTGTTCATTTCAACAAGCACCAGATAAACATCAACGTATCTCATTGTCTTGAGTGCTAAACTTTCTAAGCATCCTAAGATTCAGTGTTAACGTCGTTTTTTTTCGTCTAGGAATAAGTTGGGCCGAGTGTACTCAGCAGTAGATAGGAAAATTGAAGGCAAAGGAGGAAAGTGGTGCGATTGCGAGGTCAATTACTGGAAAACGTTTGTTGAATGTGGAATGGGTGCGGTGTATCTTATCCCCTTGTCATGTGGTAAGTGCTATATTGGGCAAACTGGAAGGTGTTTGAATAACAGACTAATGAATCACAGGGCATCACTGAAGGCCCATCCGTCGTCGAATCTGTGCCTACATTGCAGAGATTTCAAGTGATACCCATTACTTCGCGAAACAAGGGTGTTGTTCCCGCAGAGGGATAGGACAGTGAGAGAAGTTGCCGAGGCTTTTTATATACACAAGTATGGTGACACATGTGTTGCAAAGCCTTCGGTGACTTTGCACCAACTAGAGAAAGATTATCTCACTGCCAACCTCTAATCTTTCATGTCATATATATATATATATTTTTTTTTGCTAGTTATATATATGTATCCTTCAATAAACTTTCAGTTGCTAGCCTGCACTTGTGTGCGCACCTTCTCCGTTTCTCGTCACTTTTTCGCACAGTTTTGTAGTTATGAATTACCAACTCGCCCAGCATTCAGTATAGATGCTCGAATGAAATGAATATGCTTCCAATAAAATGTTCTTAATAGGATAAAATTGTCAGCCTTACAGGGGAAAAAAACGTTTTTTGTACTTGTCAAAGTTGCAACTGAAACCAGTGCTGCAAATACTCATGGAAAACTTGTGGCGGTGTGATCTGTTCATTTTTGTCTACTGAAGCCACAGCTACTGCCGCTCCATCAAGTGGCACCAGCTACGGACAAAAAAAAAAAAAAAATATATGTCCTCCAAATTCCAGGAGCAGCCATAGCTTCTCTGCCGTTTGCTAAGCCTACAGCATGGATTATTTGGATATGGCTCTCAAAGTGTCCTGAATACACACGAACATAGGTTGGCAAAAAATATGGAACTCACTCATGAAATGAAATTTGCCTTGAGGACTCACTTGCTCTCACTCAAATTTTTCTCGTACAGGCTCAGTACCATTTCTTTCAAGCGAACTCACTCGGACTCACATTACTTGTGTGTACTTTTTTTCCTTTGAGGTCACTATGCGGGGTTTTTGGGGTGTATAGACAGAATGCCTTAGCCACATGAAACACCGCTGCAAAAAGAAAACGAAGTTGGATAAATTGTGTAGTTTCAGCACAGAGACAAGTGTCGGAGGAGGTTGGCTTTACGAGACTAGCTAAATGACGCCATATTACGCCCAGCAATATCGGTTGTGAAGAAAAAGAATCTTTTTTTAATCGTGGAATTCATCTTAAAGAAATGCAGTTGAAACTTTGTGAGTGTCTAGCGTTGTATATCATAGCATTTGTCTACAAAATCTGCTGATAACCACATGAGTGTATTTAGAATGTTATTTCATAAAGTACTATATTATTCAATGAGTATTCTATTTATTTTCTACGAAAATAGTCACTGAACAAGATTTTCCAGAATGCTCAACGGCATGATGACATTATTTTTTGCATCATCTACTGAAATAGGGAGTGCTCCTAATATGTCCCGCTCCATGAAGTTTGCAATGAATCGAAATATTTCTAACTCTTCACAAGAACCCCAAAATAATTATTCGTGTCCTTGAATGTACAGTCGAACCTCGATATATCGAACGGCACGGCGATCGCGAAATAGTTAAATATATCCAGAATTCGATATAAAAAATCACGAAAAAGATACGTCAACAGCTTGCTGAAAACAACCAACGAACAGTTCAAGCGTGGTGCAGTAAATACTCACTTGAACATTCAAACATAGTATTTATTGTGTTGGTTTAAAATATTGAAAAAGAGTAGCCTGTTTTTTGTTGGCCATGCCGTGTTTGACGACTGCGTCCTCCATGTAGTCCAGGCGTTCCATAAGTGACAGGCCGGTGCCTTCAATCGCGCCGCAGTGGCGGCGCATAAGGCCCAAGGCATCTACGACCTCAGCTGATGTCGGGAGCGGGGCACCATCAGCGCTTGCAGGATCCACCTCGGCAGAGTCTTCATTTGGCTGCTCAGCAGTAGCTTCGGCGACAATCTCCACATCTGTGAGCTCCGCCTTCGGAGTTAGGCCTGTCGCGCGCTGTGGTGCGCGACAGCCTAACTCCGAACGCACGAACACTGCGAGCACAACGACCGATGCCTGCCGATGCTACGGGGGAGGAGCTTGCAACAAGTGCTCAGTGTGCCGTTGACACCATAGAGACTGCAAGCTGCAAGGCTGCGGCGTGAGTCGCGCACATGGCGCGTCCATGCCGGCTCGTCTGACTGCTTTCCCTTTCCCGGTGGCAGCGCGGACCGTGTCCGAGACAGTGTGCATCCTTTCCCTCCTATACTTTCCTCCTCAATCTTTACCTCTCACTCCCCCTCCCGCGCGAAGCCGTGTCGGTGCCTTCGTATTGAAAGACAATAACAGCTCCGCGCTTTTCTCTTCACTTTCCTCATTCAAGAACCTCTACCGCAAGGCTGCGGCGCGCGTACGCCGCTACGTTAAAGTGGCGCTCTTGGCGCCATCGATGTGTGCAGCATTCGTAAATGCCCGCCGCTCTACCGCTACTTACGAGAGTTGCGAGAAAGCTCGCCATCTGTCAATGGAGCGCGGGCGGTTTGGGGTAGCTGAGTTCGATATATCCATTATATGTCAAACTTTGTTCGAAATAAAAAATCAATAATGCATGCGATTTCCCACGTGATATAGGAACCGTTCGATATAGGCAATAATTCGATATATCCTTGTTCGATATATTGAGGTTTGACTGTAAATGCAACTTGCTTCTCTTTCAGGATGTGATATCAGCTGCTCCAGATTGCTCCGAAATGACACATTTTGCTGCTCCAGAGTACTCCAAAATATAAAATTTTGCTGCTTTAACATGCTCTAAAGTGTGAATTTTGCTGATCCAACAATTGCTCTAAATCGGCAGACCTCAGTAGCATCACTGGCTTTCGTGTTACACCGATTTCTACATAGAGGGATCAGCCATTTTGCTTGAACAGTATGTTATGTAAAAAAAAATACTGAATAGCTAAGTATTTAACTGCATCATTTTCATTTGCAGGCTTATGCAGCTGGTGGCATTGGATCCATAGTGCGCGTCATGACTGATCGCAAGAGAGTCTGAGGGTGCTACTAAAAGGGTCTAGATTCGATTGAGCCTGCTGAAAGTGTTGATGGTGCCAGCACCCAAGGCTGTATATAGGCATGGCAACATAAGTTATATGTGTACTCCTCTTGTGTAGTAAATGCCTGTTTGTTTGTCAATTCTTTTGTGTGATGTGAAGCTATTATTGTATGCTTTTGGGGAATTCATTGTGAAGAATGGAGCTAGAAAGAAACAAAAGACAGCACTCGTCTTGTCTTCTTGCCCTTTTCTTCATGCTCACGTTGAGTTGAGCTCAAGCTGTACAGATACTTCATGCACCAACATGCCCACTCAGCAGTACTTGTACTTTGGTACAAAAGTTTTGGTATTCAAGAGCTCGAAACAGACAAGATACAAGTGACAGATTACATAAACTCGCCCAAATACCGGTGTTTCTAAAGAGAAAGCGTAATGGATGCAGACATCACTGAGGCCTCAATTTGTAGTACCTTTAGGCATTTGGGATTGGCTATAGCCTTGTTAATGTCATCATTGTGTTGTTGTCATCAGACGCAAACTGTTTCCTTTACATGTTTTGTTGTGATGTGGCAATGAAAACTATTTGTTATTTATGAAGGTAACACATGGTGAAATTTAGCATGCACATGTCATTTGGTGCCCTGATATAACTGAAATTGGTTTTGAGCTATGTAATGTGGTTTTTAAGTTGCAACACTTGTAATCCTTTTGGGATGACTCATTGTCATCCCAAAATTAATTAGACATGAGTTTGTCAAAACTTTTGCATAAGAATACTATTCGCAACACACAAAAAATTGAAATGTCCTGGGCATATTGTATGACTAACAACTTTTACAAAAGGCCATTTATAAAAATATATATGATGTGCACACAAATATTGACAGCTTTACGGCACTCACCAATGTCTCAGTCCAAGTTCAGAAAATTGTATGGCTATATCTTCATTTGTCGCAAATGACATGGGGATGACTAACAGCAACTGCTCAAAAAATCATAGCTGAAAGAAATTGGAATTAAAAGCTTAAAAAACGGAACTCTGAAGGGAGCTGGCTTTATTTTTCATTGAAGAAATGCAACCTTGTGGCTATCGCAAGCTCAAATCTTTACGATGATGCCAATATGGTGGCCCTGTGCATAGGAAAAAGGTGATTTGCATTTTCTAAAGTTCAATTATCACATAGCTTTTGATGACAGCCCACCAGTAAAATGCTTTCTTCTCAACTTCCACGACTCATCTTGGTCTAAGATTTTGCCATGATGTAAAGCATGGTCTCAGGATTGCTAAAAAAAAAAAAATTGAAAAATTGATCATTTTGACCAAGTTTACCATTCTCATTGCCACGTCTTGGAAAACAGTTATGTAAAAGACACCTAATTGGTTGGTCTTGTGCTTAAGTAATACAAAAAATATATCTTAAATTCAGGGCAATCTCACAATTTTCACACACAAAAAAGGTACAGTCTGCTTTTTTTTACATGCATCTTCTCTCCAGAAAAGCCATTATTGACAATAGTGACGGACTTGAGCGCACAGATATTTCACATATTTAATGCACAACATGTGCACACCTTTGCAGCTTCACATCATACCTTGCCATTCGTGCCATAAAATAAATATCTAAGTAAACGCAACAGAAACTTCGTGTGTATTAGAGTCGGGAAGGAAGAAAAAGAAAGGAGGGGGCATTACTTCACCCGAGTGAAGCCCATTGTGTCGCCCCATCACGTTATGGAAAGTAGGAGCATCCGGTAGGTTTTAGTACTCTTGGTAGTAATCAGTCTTTGAACAACCTGCGTGTGCAGGCCGGTCTGCACCGAACGAGCGTGTTTCGATTAAAAGCTACCAAGCGCCGTACTTCGAAGCATCGATAAGTCTCGTTGCTGGTGTTATTTTGCGCAAAACGTCGCGTGTTGGGCCAACAATTCTGGCTTCAAAATGGCATTGTTTGCTAAGGGTGCTTGCGTGAAGTCACGCTCCCTCCTTTTCTTTTTCCCTCCATGATTACAGTGCAGGATTTGATGATCATGATGCTCTTGGGATCATTGGCTCCTACCCACTCAGGAGAGGGTCAGGTGGGTCATTGTCTGAAATATTTAAATTCCTAATGAACGTCAGTTGGAATGAAGAATGATAGTTCCACTTATAACCGCGTGTTATTTGGCTGCCAGACTGAAGCAGTGATAGCTTTTTTTTTCTTAGAATTGTATGCCACCAACACCTAGAAACTAAAACTAGGATGTACCGTTCAATCCAATAGTTCTTACCCTTACCATGGACCTAATTAGTTAGGAGGATGCTAATATAATTCTTGGCCTGAACACATTTTTCTAGTTTCTCGATGTTTTCTTTTGAGATTTTGATTTGCAGCTTCAATGGAGGCTAATGATTTCTCTTTGCTGTTAACATGCATATTGTTCTTGCCTGGCACTTTGCCCTTATTTCTTCAGACAGCTTGGATGTTTCTGAAAACTTTGTGGCCCTTTCCTGCTGCCTCTCTTGGCACAATGTGCTATGCTGCCACAAGACACTACCACACATTGAAGGAGTAGATCTAAGGTTATAGTGCTTTATAGCTGTAAAACTGGGAACACTCATGCAATACAATCCAGATGAACATCTGGTGTTTAAAGACATCTGTGCCACTCTGTGAATGTTGCGAGACATGAATTGCCTTGTCTTTGAAAATAGCATGACCTGAGACATGGTCATGGCTGCAAAAATAAGGCTTGCTTGAAATTGACTCTTTGCTGATTCTGGTTCTTGCAGCTTGTCTTGTCATGAGTAACAAAAGACCAGAGTACACCAAGTGCAGTTTCTTCAAAAATTAATATGCATCGTGGCACTGGTACTGTTTATATTTAACATAACTGCAGCGTAGTGCAGGCACTTCACATAACTTGTATAAAATATACTTTTTAAATGTACCATGCATGCTGTTTCATTGCAAATAAAGCTACTGTTATAGACATAGCACTGGTTGTCACGACAATTAGAGGTGTGCGCCGAGGCGGTTTCGACCGGCGGCTGCGAGGGGCTGGCTTTGAGTCGGCGGCGGCGGGGCATGCCGGGTAAAATTATCGGTGGTGGCGCACGGCCCCTTTTTATCGGCGGCGGCGGCGGCGTGGAAACCGAAACCACAAGTTCAAAAATCTCTTTACTGCGTCTTTTTTTTTTTTTTTTGCTTAATTGGCTGAAATTCAGAGCTTTTAGCACTAACTGCAAAGTACGACATATGAGATTGCTGGAAGAGAATTGGTAAATATTTTATGAATGCTTTGTTTTTGAGCACGCACACTGAAAATGGGGGAAAAAGTGGTGTGAGAGGGGTACTTATCCCAAGTCGTGTACAGTACATTAATTTTTGGGGACGTTTTGACCACCCGTTTACCGTTCGTCAAATACGCTATAAAAGGTACACGATCACGACTACGTTTTTTCCTTTGCATTTTATATACTTCAGTCAGTTCCCTATCGCATATCATGATATTTCATATATTCTTTCATCAGTTCCCTCTCGCATTTATTTTTGCTGGGTATCGTTAAAAACTGGCAAGCAACTGCACTCTCAGTCGAGCAGGCGAGTCTCCTCCCAATAATGTGATGGACATTTCAGGTTATTTGAGCGTCCCACCTGGCCTATGCACACTCTACCACAAAACAAGGAATGGCTAAAATACTTGTCCCTTTCTTCTTCCTTATACAACAAGGAAACAGTATACGATATGTACGATGCATCTAACAAAATAATGACCCCTTAAATGTACACTTCTTTCCTCATGTTTGCGAGTAATTCGGTTAATCTATTACATGGCCACTTGTACCTGCTCCTTGATTTCCAGATTTGATGATCTCACAAAATCGCGAAAGCATTGCATGGCGCTGAGAATTCGGCAACTTTTTTTTTTCTCGCTATGAGAAATCGCGTACTATCGCTCGCCTACTGTACACACCTTAATGCGTACCTGAAGTTTTGTCTGTTTCTTTTTTGACACTCTTTTCGTTTCAACTCAACCTTGGGGCCTTACAATGGGTGACTCAAACGCTGCAGCTTTTCAACGAAGGCTGCCCGATTGCCGCCTCATTCTCTCTGCGATTGTAGGTATGCGTGACCCCCTAAAAATGCACGTTCTTTCTACTAAGAGTCCTTCCATATAAACAAATAGTGGGGATGCTGTTGGGGGAGGCGGTTACAAAACAGCAATTTACATTGCCAGTGTCAGAAAAAACTTTCCAGCTTTTTTTTCTTAAAGTAGAAGAGATATGAAATGGCATACATGTACTTGTCCGCGGAACACGTTGTTGGGTCGGTCCGGCGCAGAGTCACGGAGAAAGCAGTGACCCCTTCCTCTTCCTCCTAATACAAGAAACAGGTCGCCGGAGGGCTGTGGGCCTGCTGATGGCCAACCAAATATTTGCTCCCGACACGGGAAGTGGGGCGCTTTGCAACCCGACGAGGCAAGAAGTTCGACGAAAACTACTGCAATGGTTCCCGGCTTCCTGGCCACACTACCCTGCTTAAGGAGAGCGTTGTCACGTCGAATGACAACCATGGATGGATGTATGGATGGATTGATGTGGCTGTACCCTTTAGATCGGGCGGCGGCTAACGTCACCTAGCCGTAATACTTAGTGAACCACCAACTAGATTTATCTTTTTTTTTCCCTTTAAATATTGAAGTATAGGGCTGGTACTTTGCAGTCAATGGTTTAATTTTCACTCGTGTCTTGACTTTAGCCACCAATCAGATAACCTTCTTGTAGTTAATTCTACCCACTTAAAATCTATTTTGCTCTCCCTGTCCCTAAACCCCAGTGCTTTGAAAAACTCTGCGCCATCATCCTGAGCTATAGGGTAAGGCCCTTTACAGGACGTTATCAAGTGTTCGCCCTCCCTGTCCCTAAACCCCAGTGCTTTGAAAAACTCTGCGCCATCATCCTGAACTATAGGGTGAGGCCCTTTACAGGACATTATCAAGTGTTCCGCAGTTTCCTCCTCCTCTCCACATGCACTGCATACCGTGTCTACCCCTTCGTATTTGGCCCGATATGTCATAGTTCGCAATACTCCCGTCCTGGCCTCAAACAGAAGAGAACTTCCTAGTATTACCATAGATCCTTTCCTTGGCGATTTCCTGCTTAAACGTTCCATAGATCTCTAGTGCGGACTTCTTAATCATGCCCATTTTCCACATGTCAGTCTCCGTTTCCTTCACTTTCTTCTTAACCGATAGTTTTTTGGTTTGGCCACCTGCTGTTTTCTAAGTATGTACCAGTCAACTTCCTGGTTCGCTTCCTCCATTTTGTATCGACATTCTTCATGTACAAGTAGCTGAAAACCTTCCTAGCCCAACGCTCCTCCCCCATTTCTCTCAATCGCTTCTCAAATTTTATCTTGCTGCTAGCTTCCCTGCCCTCAAATGATGTCCATCCCATATCACCTTGTACTCCCTGATTTGGTGTATTCCCGTGAGCTCCTAAAGCAAGCCTACCTATTCCACGTTGCTTAATTTCTAATCTTGCTTGAACTTCTGATCTCATGAACAAGACCGCATTGCCGAACGTCAGCCCAGGAACCATGACCCCTTTCTATATTCCTCTCACAACATCATGCCTATTGTAATTCCACAGTACCCCATTTTTCTTCACTGCTGCATTCCTGTTACCTTCAGTCATCACGTATATTTAGTGTTCCCTTAGGTACTCGGTCCCATTGCTTATCCATACGACCAGATATTTGTATTTATCTGTTATCTCCAGCATGACTTCCTGTATCCTAAGCTCACAACCTTCATTATCATTAAAAATCATGACTGCTGATTTTTCCTTACTGAATCTGAAATCTAACCTATCTCCCTCTTACCGAAGATGTCCATCAATATCTGCAAATCTTCCTTGTTGTCGGCCATTAGCACTATATCACCTGCGTACATTAATGCTGGTAGTGCCTGATCAATGAGTTTTCCTTGTTTGACGAAAGAGAAGTTGATTCTAAGTTCACTTCCCTCTAATTTGGTTTCTA